CGAAGGTCAGCTCATGTTTATTGGGGTTATGGAGTTCGACCCGATAGTTATATTCCTTAACACCTCTTTTCGCAAGGAGGCTTTGCTTGGAATGGTCGATTTTCATATGTGCATTTTTGTGGGCTTATATTTTTCTCCCAGTGTGGTCAGTCTTGGTTGGCCTACATCTGAGCTACTGCAGCTCATCTTTCACGCCTATTCCTTGGAAGATGCATGTATCTATGGGTGTGTTTAGCTGCGACTTTCGGTTGAGGTTGTCCATGCTGACCTCCTACTAATAGAGGGTCAAACAGATGTGGGTGGCTCTAGGAAATAGGAAAAAGTCTGGCTTGAGCAGGCAAATTGGGGTCAGTCCTGCCTGTTCCTTATAGGACCAAGTCTATCAAAGACACCGCCCGACCTCTTCGATGTGATTGCCCTGTTATAGTCTGGAGGAACAACAATCTCCCCAATCATTTGGTGGGTGGCATAGTTGGCAACCATATCCACACCCACATCTCTTTTCGGCATAACACTCTCATTGTTGTTTTGTAAGGAGTTGGCCAATTGACTTTGCATACACCCTGGCAATTATTGCATTGCAACATTTTTTCGGGAGATAGCCCTCATGTTTGCAGCAACGGTAGCCAACTCCCTAGCGAGCCTCGTTGCTAGCCTGGGCTTTCTCCTCGAGCCACCTCTTCGGTGGCAAATTGCTAGAGCAATTGGAAATGGCTCTTAGATTATTGGGGTGCTTTGCGAAGACACTTCCTCGCCGGGGCGTTCTCTAGTTTGCCTAGGTATAAATTTTCCGTTGTCGAACACATGGCTGAACCTCCTCGACAGATAACCATTTTTTGGCTCTTCTCCTAGGATTGCTTTCCTTGAGGATCTAGCAAAGTTCCTTTTAAGTTACCGCTTCCCCGTATCGTTCTTTTTCAAGAATGTTACCTTTTGTTCAAAGGCTTTACTCCATGGGGTGCTCGTGGTTTAGCTATTCCAAACTTCCCACAGTCGGTGACAATCTCTTGATACTCAAAAATGGCATCAACAGATGCCGGGTCCACACGTGTTCGTACAGGCACGTGGAGAATACGTCTTCAACGCTCGACTAAACAGTTCGGATGCCGGCTAAAGTGATCGAAAAACTTGAAGATACGCGAATACAATTTCACCTTGACGTACTCTGAATAGTCGCAAGTGAGTAGAAAAGGATAGGAAAAGAATAAGAGATCCAATAGCTTGAAATGTACGGAGTAGTGTTTATTTTCTCCTCCAAAATGTACCAAAAATTAATAACCCGTTCCTTATTCTTTTTCCCAGGTTTTTTCCTCTTTTTCTCTTTCTATATATGTGTTGTTTCTTTTGTTCCACACCTCTCTTTTCTTCTCCAAATGCGAGAGTATATATAGAGTTTAAGGAAGACGTGGTGGCCATTTGATCCGAACCTTGTGCCCCTACCTCTTCCTTATACACATCATATTCTTCTTACACATACATTTATTATATTGACAAGGGTCAATTGCCCTAATTTCTAGGCGATATTCTCGTCTTAAGATAAAGTAGATGTCTAATCAGTCTCTCACAGAGATATTCGTCAGGTTAGCAAATGTGGCAGCCTCCTCGTTTCTTAGGACTTCAGCTCTGTCTTTCAGAATTTCTAGGCCGACGGAGGTAGCAACCTCCTTATCTCTTAAGACTTCAGCCTCGTGCTTCAGAACTTTGGCAAGTCGTGAACATGAGGGCTTTAACGTAAACCCTTCGTCTAGGTTTCGACACATATTTGGTTGAGTGACACCTTGGCCAAAATAAGGACCTCGACTTCTGTAGTCTTTGTAACCTTGTCTTTTCCTATATTTGGGCTGATTCTTCCAATGTTCTTAGTGGGGCTTCCACGTGTAGCTTCTGATTGCTAACTTAATACGGGGAGTAATAGGAAAAATGATTTTGGGGAGTCCATTTTGGATAAACATATTTCAAAAAGGAGAAGATGAATATAGTGGAAGAGATTTCACGTTTTAGGAAAAGTAATTTTGGAAATCGATGGGAGGTGACCTTGTATTTGCAGTTGTGTTTGGGGTGATTTTGTGAAAAGAAGAAGACAAGTTCTTGTTTCGATTTTTTATTTAACCCATATTTTTTTTTAATAACACTTACTCCATGATTTGGCATCCACTAATTGCAATATCATGCCGCATAAGTAACTTTATTTGCCTCATCATAAATTTCACAATGGTTGATTTAGTGATGGACAGGGTATCATATTACAAAATTCAGTACCCAATCAGATTATTAATCCCTCCATATCATAAAAAACTTCTTGATTTGGCAATGGCATCCATTAATTGCAATATTGTGCTACATAAGCAAATCCATTTGTCACGTTATCAATTCTGTCACTTTTTCGAAAGATCGTTGATTGACCAATCGATGAGGTTACATATTACAAAGTTCAGTGATTAATAGGGAAACTTTTAAATTTCAATGACCCACTGAAAACTTTGTGAAAAGTTCTATGCTCAAATCAGATTATTAATCCGTGCTTTGAATTAACCGTACTATCAACTAGTAATATAATTATGCATGCAAAATATATTTGTATAAGTAGAACACCACAAAATTTAGTCGCACTATTCTTTTTTGGACACTTGAAATCATAAATTAATTTTATGTTCACGACTTATTCGTTAAATTATTACATGTCGCTAAAATTGTCCAACTTAATTTCCTATTTTTACCTACCTTGAAAGTAATCCACCACCCACTTTATGTAATAAAATTTCAATCTAGCATGTCAAAATCCACTAACTTTGAAGACATCATTTATACACATCCTTCCAATTCTCCAAGTCCAACATTGCCTTCACATGCATTTTTTATAAAAGCTGATTTTCCCCCCCACTTTGCCATGCATAACCATCCAAGGACTCCAATTTGTGTAAGAAATAAATAATTTTTTAAAAAAAAAAAGAAAAAAAAGTGCCACGTGTCCATGTATTAAATTGACCAAAATTATATTTTTCTTTTTTTCAACAAAAATAAGATTTTTGAAATAACCTTTCATCAAAAAATTTTGCATAAAATGTTTTCAGTGAGATCGAGACAATTTCCAATGAATTTTGAATTGTCAACAAAAGGGATATACATAGCTTCTTAATATCGTGCCTGAACCGAAATGTGTGAACTGAATGGCATTCATCAAACATCTAGATGATTAGGATCGCAATTAGATGGGTTCAACGTTCATGAAGACTTCTTGAAGTTGTAAAATTCTTGTCTGTAGCCAGTGCATCAACATTCTACAGAACGTCTCCTGAACTGGTAATCAAATTGCTCTCTAGAAGCTTGGGGATTGTTTGGGCGGAATCATTTTTCAAACAATTAGTAAGAGATTAAGTTAACAATCTCTAAAACATTGGCCACTTCGATGGAATTGCGTCCTAATTCAGTATCTTGAGGAGTGTTTGGACCTACTGTCCTCACAATCCTATTTATAGCCTCGCACCTATTTAATTGTTAAATATTACTAGTTTGGTTTCAAGAACTATATAAAACTTAATAAATAAATATCATATTTGGAGATTGAAGAGTTTGTTTAACAAACCTTCACTCCTCATACAAATAGATATAAAATTATTTATTTTTTAGTCGAGATTACATTTTGTGTACGTATATTAAGCTCCTGTTTGATCCTCATTATCTTAAAATTCCTTTTTTTTTTTTTTTTTCAATCACACTTTCACAATAAAACATTTTACATGTAAATTCAAAATTTTTCCCTATCTTTAACCATGCATTCGTATATATATTAAATAAATAAATAAAGGGACTCGGACATAGAGATAAATGTATGTTTAAATATTAAAGCGAAAGGTGCTTATCTCCACATTCAATCAAACCAATCTAAAAAGTTGAGAGGACAATGAACATTTAGCTCCAATTTTCCTTTGGAAGCAAGCAAACTAAAGACAGTGATCCACCTGACCTAAGGCTGTAATTTCTCTCTCAATTGCAATTCTGATGATCATATTCAAACTTCACATTACATCAAAGCAAAGCTTCATAAGGAATTCATATCGCCACTTCATTGCCTACAATTCTCTAAAGTTGCAACATGCCCAACTTTTCAATTGACAACACCAACATTAATTAGTCCATGTTTGGCCCCTTCTTTTAAAATTTACTTTTTTCAAACTCATTTTCAAACATACAGTTAATAGAATCCACAACTTTGATTAAAATCTACTAAAAAATTAATTTTGGCTATATAATACAGGGGCTTAATAGTCAATCCTGCAATGATTTAGCATACAAAACTTCCATTTTTTACAAAACTTGCTAGCATTTGTTTTCGATATGTATTGGTAAGTAGTATTGTTATATGATTTCCAACTTTGTAGATGCACAAAATCTACAATTGCTGGCATACTTGGAAAAAAATATATTTGAAACCATCATGGTGCTTAATGTGTTATATATTCGAAGATCTAGTTATAGAAGTTACGATCAAGTTTAAGAGAGAACTTAAAAACAATTCTAATGTAGTTGAGTAGGGAGTGTTTAAGTACGCGTATGTTGTTGGAATTGTATGCATGCACAAACGAGTTAAACAACTAGTCATATAATAGCTTATCTACCTCTCATAATTTTTACGGAGAATGTGATACCCTTAACAATAATATAATTTAGTGCATATTTGGCTGGTGATCAACTTTATAAACACTTCTGGTCAAATATGCTTTTTATCTACGTATTTGGTAGGATCTGTAATTACTATTAACTTATTATTTGCTTATTTTATAGAATCTGCAACTTATAATTACTTAAATATAATTTAATCACCAATCAAATATGATTTTAACTTGTAGATGGATGTAAAGCACCGTCATATATTTACTATTTCGAGTGTCCAGGTCAAAGGAAACGTGTGAGCAGGCCATTGGCTGATCCCAACTGTATGTATTACTCAGAAGAGTCTACTATCCCGTGAGAATAATAAATTCCAGCGGCAATTGAGCGGCTCCTCAGTTACAACTCCTCTTGACTCTCTCTATCTGTCTCTCTCTCTCTAAAAACCACACAAATACACACTCTTTCTCTTTCTATACCAACACGTTTTCTTTATACTTTTACTGATGTTTGCGTTATAGCTTGTTGCATTCTTAATGTTATCAAGAAGAAATGACAAGTGAATACTCTCTACAAGGTTTGATCCAATATTATGAATGAAATCTTAGAAAAATTCTGGGATTTTGATGTTATTCACATTTTCTATTTTTCAGTTTTTATCCCACAAAACTAAATGGGGAAGAAAGGCAGTGGCTGGTTTTCAACTGTCAAGAAGGTGTTTAAGCACCCTTCAAAGGACTCGTCGGAGAAGAAGGTTAGTTGACTGAAATCAGAATTCTATTTCATTTTTATTTGGGACAAGATTTCTCTATCTCATTGTTACCTTGAGCTGGAACTGTGTTCAAATATAAATGTGTATGTTCTTGATCGATCTGTAGATATGCCAAAGCATAAGATTGCCTTACACTATTATATTTAATGTAAACTCTCAAATCCATTGTGAATATGGGCGTAATTTGGTTGTTTTATCGTTTTATTATGGTTCTTATAAATAGGGATTAATCCTTTAACTCTTTAGGGTCGTAAAAATTTTGTAGATATCTGGTCCCCTAATCAACACTGCCGAATAAAAAGTAGAGCTGATGACACATTGCTATCCTTCTGTCACATCAAACCAACTTGATCATCATGTGCTTACTCTTATTAGATCCCAATCATTCCCCCCATTTGATTTGATTTTTTTTTTTCAAGGGACAAGAATATAAATTCATGATTTTTTTTTTTTTTTTTGAAGTGTAGATTTATTAGTTTAAGTGATGAATGATGATTGCTAATTATGGAACTTGATTGGGTTTCTTAGAAGGAAAATGTCGAGAAATGGCAATTCGAAGTGCCAGAAGTTGTGTCCCTTGAACATTTCCCGGTTGAAAGTTCGGATGTTACAAATGTTGAGAGTATTGAGTCGTCTTCAGTGGCTGAAAATCAGAATCATGCTATTGCTGTAGCTGAGGCGACTGCTGCTGCGGCTGAAGCTGCTGTTGCAGCTGCTCAAGCAGCCGCCAAAGTCATTAGATTGGCCGGTTATGGACGACTCTCCAAGGAAGAAACGGCAGCAACTGTTATACAATCCTATTACAGAGGATATCTGGTAAATTCCCAATTTTCCGATGAATAGAACGAACAAAATCTTAGCTTCTCTTTTCTCATCCACCTTACTAAAAATGCCATTAAAACATAAGAATTCTATAGATTGTCTTTATAGACAATAACCTCAAACTTGGGAACTTTACAGGAGTCCCAGTTGTATGTTTCTTGGATTTAAATTCAGAAATTTGCCTGATGACATCGCTTCAAGTTTAAGCCATGTTTGGTAGTGATTAAAAGTTACTTTTCTAGAAAGGAAGTTAATCGCAGTATCAATTTCGTGATATATGATTACTTTTGCTTACTTGTAGGCAAGGCGAGCATTACGAGCTTTGAAAGGATTGGTAAGGCTGCAAGCTCTAGTGAGAGGCCATAATGTGCGCAAGCAAGCTCAGATGACAATGCGATGCATGCAAGCACTTGTACGCGTGCAGTCAAGGGTACGTGCACGAAGACTTCAACTAGTCCACGACAAGTTACATGAACAAGTAGAAGAGAAAATGAGACTAGATCGAGAAGATAAGAAGAAATGGAGTCAAAATGAAACCCACAAAATTACCAGGAAAAATTCTCTGTGGAAACATGATTCTGAAATGCAAAGGGAGAGAGCTCTGGCCTACTACCAGGTTGGATATTCTTTTAAGTAGTAAACTTTTATTCTAGGCCAACCATTCTGAACATGACCTAACTTACAATGTACTAATGTTGGATATATGTTAATAGCAACAACACGAACGAGTTTTAGGTTCTAATCAAAACTTTGACGATGACGGAATTTACGGCCCCGAGAGCGAAGAATCCCAATGGGGGTGGAATTGGCTCGATCAGTGGATGGGTGCACGACCCTACGATTCTCGACAAATGGTGGCGCTCGGAAGTTCCTACGTGACAGGTACCACAATAGACATGATGTCTGAGGAAACTGTTGAAAAGGACTCGATCACAGAAAACGTGAACATGGGCCGACACAGCGGAGGCCCAACTGAGACAGGCCTGTACACCAGACGAAAACCACAACGTACTGGCTCGAACGATGTCCCTAGCTACATGGCCCCAACAAAGTCTGCAAAAGCAAAAGTAAAGAACCACGGTCCAGTCAAGCAGCAAAGCGCACAAGGAGCCCAGTGGAACTCATCAACCAAAAAGGAGATTATGAATGGGCTTAGCTATGACTCATCCAGCTCAGGTGGACCAACATTTTATCAGGCTTCAAGGATCCCAAGCCCAAAGAATAATCGACGTGGACCGGAAAAATGCATTGCAGGCCGTAGCCCAGAATCCAGTAGCGAATGGAGACATAATTTGGGCTGATTGGATAATTATCCCAAGAGAGAACTCATGGGGTTCCGTACATCAATGTCTACTATCACTTGCATCTCTAGCCAAAGACCGGCATTCCAACTATTCCCTGCTCACTCTTATCGGTGCTTCCTTCTGATATAGATATTTCTACTATAGGATGAATTTCATTACACTTTCTAAGTGTTCGATTGTTTGTATTGTATGTTCATAACTTAAAATCTATTTACTCTACCTTCCTTTAGGGATTAGTAAATTCCATGAGAAGAAAACAGTGTGTCAAAATGTAATAATAATATTGGTCTATCGATAATATACTCCAATCTAAGTTTCTCTGTAAGAAATATACTTTTTGTCTTGTTTGAATTTTCTTTTTAGTTGATAAAATTATAATTACTAAAAACAAATAGTAATTATGAGTCATGCAAATGTGCGATTAAAATTAGTCTTTGCTTTGAAAAGTAAATTATAATGAGCTATAAGGAAACCCAAACAAATACGTATACGATATGGGTATGTTGGATTATATAAAATTAAATTAAACCACGAATAAAAATCTTATATATCTCTATCTTATATTCAAGTCTGTAATGAGCATGCTCGTGAATTTAGTTTTATCCATCATAGTTCAATTTAATTCGTCGTTTAATCATGAGAGTAGATCTTATTGGAGAGTAATTAGGTAAATTAATAGTAGTGATACGTGTAATTTTGGATATTGTGTGTATATAAATTAAAATTGATCTTGATTATCAATCATAAGCACCCATGAACTCAAGAAATATGAAAGATTCCCACTTGTTCTCTT